TCATGTTACGTGCGGGACTCTCCGCTTAAGAAGAAACGACAACGAAGATCTGTACCAACCTCGCGTCAGCTTAAGAAGATCAGTTTATAAGATCACATAAATAAATATATCAACTATCTATGCCGAGGTTCATAGAAAGTCGGTCTTTCGACTTACTGATTAAGTTATTGTGGTTCCCTGGAATCCCGAGGTCAGCCTCGCAAAAGTCTTCACCGCTTCAGGTAATCACCACCAAACGTGGTCGCAGCCCTTGTGGATCAGAGAGAGATTTGCCACCATGCGACTTTGATACTAGGACGGTGGTGGATCCTGATATTCGTTTACTCTTAACTAGGCTTTCTGATGGAAGCACCGGACTCCTTCTCAGCTTGGGAGACCTTGCCAGGGGATGAATCCCCCACTGTACATCGCAGTCCGACACCCAGGAACACCTCCCAGCTACGATGAGGCGTTAAATGGGAGGTTATAATATTAACGGTTATTATTGTTATGAAAAGTTCTTGACAACACGCAGCAGACAATTCGCAAAAGCTGCAGAGACCTAGTGATCTGGAATTATTTGACACTATTCAATTATAACTCGTATGAAGTGCTGAGATACCTGCAAAACTCCGGACCACAGGTGTATGCAGTGGGGAACGAACACGCGCTGTTGTCCTTACCGGGGAGCAGCGCACTTCACCACTACACCACTATTCAATTATGTGTATTCTTTCTTTGATGAGCTTACACGAGGTTGATAATGATGTTAATTTTAATTATTACTATTATTACTATTTACTATTCAATTAGTTCCCGAAAATTATGGAAACCCTCTTGTTGACACTTCGAGAATCATTCTATGAAAGCGGATTCTATATAACGAACTAAAGTTGATGATTGTCAGTTAAACATTTAACAAAAATACGAAAAATGAACAGGAACCATAAAGGAAGGATTCCAGCTGTTGAAGTTTTGGGTGTATTTCCTCGATTTGTTGGATGTACCTGCCCACTCTAGCCCTTCCATCCGGGTCAAGAAGGTGCGATCGATCAGACATGTATGCTACCATGATCAGAATGACCTTCTTTTGGTACCATTTCAGTTTTGGGAAGTGCTGAGGACCGTCATCGGACTTACCTAGCGACTCCATCGTCGCCTGTTGTCAAAGAGCATACATTTACTGGAACAAACCACAATACGGCTCAAAACTGGTAATTCTGGTTATGCAGTAGTAGCGCCGAAGATAACTTAAAACGGTGATTTCTTTGACTGTCATTCAGTTTATGCGGCACTCATTTATAGAGCCCCTTCGATCACCTAATGTTCTTCAAATGCTCCAAAATAACGATAATGTTGTTGACAAGCTGAGATTTTAAGATATTGTTTGCCATGCTACCTGCCAGCAAATGAGGTACCGACTGACACAGGACGCATTGTCTGCTCAAAGATGCTACAACGAACAAGCATATCGCGACAATGGCCACTTGTGAACCATCGACTTCGATTAACGCAGTGCTGAGAAAAGCAAGGATGCCGACAATCATGTAGAAAATTAATGATGCTGAGATACAACCACAACGTTGCTGAGATATTTGCAAAACTCTGGACCGCAGGTGTCTATGATGGGGAACGAACGCGCTACTGTCCTTTCCGGGGAGTAACGCGTTCACCACCACACCATGCGGGTCCTTTGTTTCGCCTGTCTCTCAGCTATTTCTATCGATCTTTGCCACAGCAATCACCTATCAGCGGGATTGATCTGGGGCACCTAAATCGGCATAGAACCCAGTTAAGCTGCGGCTGTAGTCTGATATTTCTGAGATAAATCTGAGATATTTGTAAAACTAGGACACCAGGCCAGATACAAACTCCTGATTACTTTTTCGTAAATCGCTGAAAACCTTTCGGAGGCAGTCAGAATCACAATGTACACCTTTTTGTAGTCTCAGCTTAACTGGGTTCAATAATAGCACCAGCATAATAGTGGTTGTATTTCACATACCTTGTCATGGTAGTGAATAAAAAGCTATGCATAGCTCCAAAAGAGTTGAGATCTTTAACCTCTTAAATAAGTTATCGAAGAGTTGTGCGTGTATTCGCTTCCACGGAAGCCTCCACACTTCATCGTCGTCAATAGCGCAAGCACGTCTACGACCCCCCTCAGGTTCAAAGGTCGAATTTTTCGAGGCGAAATTTTTGAAACCAACGGTGCGTTTGTTGACAATTCCTTCGTCTGTACCCCACTATTGTTAAAACATGTAAAAAAACCAAATTACAAATCCGAAGCCGATTTCCGAAGAATGCGATACTTGGAGAATTCTCTTTACTCATGCGTTCACTAAGATTTTATTTGTTACTCTCACCCCTTTTGTGGATGAGCAGCGATCGCTCTCGGAAGTCGCATCACTCCCTGGTAGAGCGTTCTTCGATAGCGACCATCCAATGTTTGAACGAGAACGTCCGTCCTAAAGCATTCATTTTATTTTGCTTTTAAACAGGTATGCTATCGGCTGATTTTGACGGGTCCCCAACTTATATGATGAATCCCATCATCACAGCTCACCTATGTCAGTAAAGAGAGATTGCAAAGGATTCTAGGATAGGGGGTTTCTTTACCTGTTCAGTCTTTTGCAATAAAGCTTAAGCCAGTGTCCCTATAGTCGAGGTATTCAAATGGGAACTGGTTAACTCCAATCGCGCGGTCGTGCATCACAATCGCCCAAGAAGAGCCGCTTGCTTAGCACCAAGATTTCTTGCACGCAATGACCACCCGTTCTGACAAGGCATAGGTTTACTCTTACGCAGATTTCCGCAGTTGAAATGTCGAACAGCTTATCTTGGATGACTCTACCAAAGGAGGGACCAATAATGAATTTATAGAGCTGAAATTATCTTTGACTCTTAAAAATACGTCTGAAGATTCGTTATAAATGGTCTTCTCTTTATAGAAAATACCTGTGTACGAAGTTCAAATCAGTAAGTACGTGTCTTTCTGTCAAAAGACGTCATCAAAAATGTAAGAAAAAAGTGGCTTCTTAAGCAGAGAATGTCGAAGTACTCATTTCCTGGTTCTGGATACAACCTACGAATAAGGAAGGCAACACCTTTTCTGCACATTCACAAGATTTGTGAGCGTCGAAGACATCATTCTTTTATCCAAATAGAATTGAAGAGCGATAAAAACCCAGTATAATTCTTTAAGAGAGGCCGGTTTTTAATCATTTTTGGTTAAAAACAATCGGATAAATCATTCTTAATCGAATACGACTGAATGAATGAGTGAACTGAATAAGAGCCATGGTGGTTCGCAGTGGGCGAGTAAGCTACAGCACAATGTGCAGTACCCACAACGATTCTTCCCAAACGAGTGGTTTTTTAAACACTTCTCCGGCGAATGTGAGAAACTAAACATCAAGCTTCTTGTTGTCAAGAGTTCTCTTAAGCGCAACACATTGTGTTCTACCAAACGAAGCAAACCTTCCTTCAATGCTTCGTCGCCACACTTATCGCTCAAAATGCTCAGTCACCCTTGACATTGCTGGCAGCAATGCCATTTTATAATTCTGACAAAAAGACCATTCTATGTAGCTTGAAATTACAAATGTGTTTCTTACGCTGTCTTGTCGCTCTAATGTAAACATCTTTAAATTTTCACACCTTCTTACGCTATAGAGATTTCGGCCAATCCAATCGACAGCTATTCCCTCAATGCCGTCGACATCGTACTTTTGTAGAGTTTCTGGATATGTCCCTGTTCCAACAAGGTTTAGTCTTTCAATTGAGTTCGATCCAACATCTGCATAGTAAATACGCCGTTCCTGAAATTTTCCTCACAATCCCAGAAATACAATTTCCACAAGCGCTAATCAATAATGCACTAATCGTATTCAGTATAACTTCACTAATTGCACTAAAGTACTAAACTTAATCAGTGTAACTCTTCGGTGTCATCTTATCTTTACGAGAGTTGGTAAGAAATCGATATAAATTCAACGTACAAGCACATCCACATCGAGGACGGCGGTTTTCTGTAAGCCGGCCTTTTGCAGCTCAAATGATCCACCACTAAGTGAAATATTCCAAATCGATTGTCCATGAGCGAAAAATAACCACATAGGATCTGTAAGAAGTAATTTCGAAAACTTCCTAGGTGCTTTATACGATCACACATCAAAAATTACCTTTATCGTTACGAGTGCAGGTCTTCTTATCGGTGCTCAGATGAAAGAATGTAGGATCACAAGTACATTCGTAGGTCCCTGGATGGTTCACACATTTCTGTGAACAACCCGGTTCAAATGAAGAGCATTCATCTACATCTGAATGCGAAACGGAATCGTGAAGTACGCTGGTGAACAAAGTAAAAGGTGATTGAGGAACGCAGAAGTTGTTAAGGCCGTCTGTTGCCGTGTTATTGAACAAAGGAGTGTGAACCAGGCCCTTCTCTTATAATGTCGTTGAAACGGCGGACCGTAATGGTGCAACGACCAATCAGATGCGACGTGATACTGATACTATATTGCCAATTTTCGATTTATTTTTTTCGGCAGGGTACTACCTGAAATACAGCCACAATGGTGCTGAGACCTTTGCAGAACTCTGGACCGCAGGTGTCTGCGGTGGGTATCGAACACACTATAACCCTATCCAGGAGCTAACACGTTCACCACTCCTCCCATGCGAGTCCTTCGTTTCGCCTTCTCTCAGCTAAGTTTTCTATTAACCAGTGCCATCGGAAACTACCCGTCACCCGAAGGACCCACATGGTGTGATAATGAAAGCGTTAGCCGCCGGAAAGGTTAATAGGTGTTTCATCTCCACTGCAGACACCTGCGGTACGGAGTTTTGCAAATATCTCAGCACTATTGTGACTGCTACTACACCTCATGAATGCCTTAGTCTCAGATTTTCGTTAGTAAAAGTTAACCACATTGCTTTACTTACACGAAAAAAGTGATAGCGATGAAAAAATAATAGAAAATGAATGAAAACTAATGAATCATGAGAAGCATAATGACGAAATGGTAAACGATCGTTGACGATGCGTAGGCACTGGTAATATTTCGTTTTAAAGCATCGAACAATCATTGCTGTATTCTAAGTGAGAAGCTTTCAATAGAAGCTGAAGGATAAAGCTCTTGGCGTTGATCAATCCCTGAGGGATGTGCCATGCATTCAACTTCATTAATCATTGTTGGAGGTGATTGAATGCATAACTGGCCTTTACAATGACTCGTGGTGGCCTACAGATGTATCGAACCAGTGTTACTATCCTCCCAGACAAGTCTGGTACCAATTTGCCGACCCTGGAGAGATGGAAAGCTTCGATGGAGCACCGGAATTGATTCCATGTGTATTTTAGAGCGTCTCAGACCACTGCACTACACGCGCTCCTTCTCCAAGTTTTCAATATCCATTTGAAATTAGCGGTGAAGAAAGAAGAGAAAAGCACCAACCGATGCACTTTTTTAATTCGACGTCATAGTAAAATCCATCTAGACGACACTTGCAGTGTCCATGTTTGTCGCATTGTTCCAGTGGCCATTCTGTAAGCTTTACAGTTGAGGTGGAATGTCCTGGATGCATTTCACTTAGAAGAAAATTCGTACCAGCCAAGATGTTCTCAAAAACTTTCTTACGCTCAGCTCTCTTTTATATCTTTTCTGTATTTAAGTGATTGAGTGTTCTTCTTCAATTGAGCAGACCAGTACTCAAAATGACAAAATTCAGAATATATTGTTACTTTAGCGAAAATATAAGCGCTTTCGAAACTGACCCTCATCAGGACGCGTTTTGATCGACGTGGTTTTCAAAACACAGTCACTACCATTTCGATGAGCAAGCAATGAAAGCATTGACATTTCGAGCTAAAAAAATTGTGTTTCATCTCAATATTATCTTTCTCTGGTTGTTGCGTAGTACTGCATAACATTATTGGCTCGTTTACTGAGATGACAAACCAAAAGCTATGATCACCCTCATATGGTAAATTTTGCACATCAGTAGATAACTTCGACCCTGATGAGGGCCGCTCAAGCCCTGATCCGTGTTAGGTAAAACTAGAGATGTTCTTGCACGAATTTTCCGGGATTCCAAGGAGAATCATGTGCGATCAGTACTCACTAAGACATAATCATCAAAGACAACCGAAGTTAGTGATGCAGCGCTTGAGGAAGCAAGGTGCCAATTCGATCCCTACCCAACGCTCCACTCCAATTCATGTGAGGACGTCTCAGCTTGACTGCCTTCAGGAGTGCAAGAAGAATAGACTCAAGAAGCATTCTTTAACACTGATAAAGGGGAAATCCTGAAGAAGCAGCGGAAAGAACACGCGAAATATACGAAAACGATAATGTTCGACGAATACGAGGAAAAGGAACAAATGCAAGAAGTGCTGAGACCCACACGATTCATGTAATGACAGGTCATGTAATAAATCTTAAATAATAACAATCTTCAGTCCATACCCTTAATGCCTTAACTCCTCAACATGACATTGGGGTTCTGGTGGTCGGTGCCATCTCAGAACCCTAGAAAAAAAAGTCTATCGAACCAATAAAATGCCAATAAGCGGAAATGAGAAAATATAATGATTAAGCGAGTAATATTTTAGAACGCCAAAACTACGAACTATTAACAGTTGATAACTCGAAAGACCGACTTTCTATGAACCTCGGCATAGATAGTTGATATATTTATTTATGTGATCTTATAAACTGATCTTCTTAAGCTGACGCGAGCTTGGTACAGATCTTCGTTGTCGTTGTCGTTGTTGTTGATGTTATTGAACGATGGCTGACGTTTCGGCGACTTCGCCTTCCTCAGAGCCGTGATGTTACGTGCGGGACTGGATGTTACGTGAACAACAACGACAACGAAGATCTGTACCAACCTCGCGTCAGTTTAAGAAGATCAGTTTATAAGATCACATAAATAAATATATTAACAGTTGACTTTATTAAACCATGCGCCTTAGAATTCAGAATTTCATTTCTTGACCCGAATTCACATATTGTGCGGACTCAAGCGCTTCTTTCATTCAATTCATTTTCTAACACTCTTCATCCACTCCTATTTAAGGATATCTTCACGATGAATATCGTTGTGTGTTGATCGAGTTGTTTCTGCATGGAATTCTGAAATACAGCTTGAGCACTCCCAGGTCCTCAGCACAGAAGACATTGCTGGTCTTTGTTGAACGAAGTAAGCTTTCCCATAAACGTCTGAAATCAATGTGACGACCTTGGAGGGGATGAAAAGCTTGGTTGGGCCAACGCGGAGTTGAACCTGCGGTCATGTATGTATTGTTGCACGACATCTCTAATGACTGCGCTCCCTACTCCGACTCCTGAACATTTCAGTATGTATATTTTTTATAACGTTTATTTATTTGTCATACGTTTTATTTGTTGATTTCTTTCATTGTTATTCGTCAGCGTTGTGTAACGGGAATTACCTTGACGGCCTCTTTGCATGTTTTATATTCGCTCTCCAATAAGCAGTCTACATATGTTTGAATGACCAAGCAATCATAAGACGATGGCTTCACATTACTGGGCATAGAAACACCTGAAAATATTCACCTAGTCATTGAACAGTAACCCTCAAAAAACTTCAAGTGTGTGCAATTCTCTCCGAGCAGTAAACACTTCAACAGATTGTTTATCTCGGGGAGCTCATAGCCACCCGACACCACTCTGAGCGTGAACATTTATATATATACACACACACACACACAAACACACATACACACATGCATACACATACACATACACATACATACACATGCAAATACAAATCGGCACATGTACAGACACCAGCGAACGGCCAGCTGATTCCAAGTGACTATTTGTTGACTATCTTCTGGCAATAAATGGCTGGCACTTTACCAGCACGCTATCTACGATTTCCACGTAGAGATGTATTTCATGGATCGTCGTTTTTAAATTTTGTTGGAATTGGCAAGCTACATCTAAATATTCAGCGTTATGCCAACATTAAAGAGAATAACACGAATAAGATAATGATGTAAGAGTGTTGAATTTCAGGTTTAATCGAGCCAAGAATCACCTTTATAAGATAAGTGTTGATCGATTTCAACAATGACTATGGATTAATCTAGACGTAACTGATCTTAAAAAAGACGATATACCTGAAACACCGATGGAAAGGAATAGAAGTCGTCCGATGGTTTATTAACGTCTGCCTAGTTCGTCATGTCAATATTGTCGATGCTCAGAAGCCAAAGTTGAGTAGAGCAATGTGAAAGGACTTTACACGCTCGTTGAGGAAATAGCTAGTAGAAAACGAAGACCGTTTAGCACGAAGACCACCTATTTAAGTTCATAGCAGGTTTTTGCTTCCAGGGACACTTCATTAACACCGACGTTACCGACGCAATCAGAGCGCGAGTGAACTCGAAATGATCAGGAACAGGACTGTTCAGCTTATAGGAAAGATAGTCATTTAGGCTGGAAATTTCACACGATAATGGCGAATGTATGATAAATCCTGGTATTGACAGTGAGTACTACGGAATTGTAGAAGAACATTAACTGATTTAGCAGTTCAATTATCAGACTTCTTTCATGCTTATGTTGGCCATTGAGCTTTTCCTGCTTCTCAAGTGATGAGTTCCCACACCTACAATGTGACCTGAAGAAGCGTACTTAGAAATGCCTTAATAATGAGAAAGATATTACTGGAAACAAGAAAGCGAAAGGTTAAAAAGGTTGACTGAAAAAGAACACTTGGAAGAGTCTTCTTTACAATGAACTTCTAACAAAAGCTTAAAAGTTTTGAACGCATTCAACATAGACAATTCGACTTATGCCTCGTCTAAAAGAAAGGAACAAATGGGTTTTGATTACTATTCTAAATTCCACCTACCAGGATTCTCATCACGAAGAGTGTTTGTCCTATTCACAAAACATTCTCTGAGTTTCACATCTCTGAAATATTCTTTCTTCTGTCAAACGATATAAGAATTGACAGAGCTTGTATTATTTGTTTTGCACTTTAGCGACCTGTTTTCATAAACAATAATACAAACACCATCACAATATCAAACCTACTAATATTGTGCTCAAAAGCCAAGGTATTTTTCCGTGGAACTTCCACGACCGTCTGTCCATTAACACCTGCGTTGACCAATGTTTGGCTGAGTAGATTGCGGTCAACTTGACCTTTCCAGGCTCTGAGGAAGGCGAAATCCGCCGAAACGTCGGCTTTATCGCAGAATATTTGAGAAATATGTGCAAGATTACTTCCTGATCGTCTCTAGGGATATATATCAGCCTTACTGCCTTGCTATTTGGGATTGTATAGAACACCCCACTTTGGATGACCATTTCGAAAGGAGACGGTAATGAACTCCTGCTGAACAAGAATACCCATTTGTTCCGTTAATGCGATGAACCGTTAAGTGTGAATTCGTGCCATTTCACGGACTCAGACTGGTGTCCTATCCTGGCAAGCTGTTTTCTCCGGTCTCAGACTTGGTGACCTATGGTGGTGTTTACCTTCGGAATAGCTCATTCAAGTTGAAGAGTTCTACGTGTCCATCGAATCACTTCCAACGGAGAACGCAGCAATGCTTGCTCCGGATTCAGGGAACAAGCGAGAAGTGCTGACTCAAATATTCAGAAAAAAAACTCCACAGTTAGCAGAATATTGGGTAAGTGGAGATTTTCATAGACCCCTTGTGTAGAAAACCATTTCAGTAAGTAGTATTATGGAAACTCTTGTTATATTCGCCACTATCTTACTACATACATTCCTAACTTTTGAATTTGTGAAAAACATCTGCGGCTTCATCATCTCCAAGGAATATTGTTCACTCACGAGTCATTCATATCAAGAAAAACCTTCAATTCACGCTTTATATAGTCTCTATGGTCAAAGCCTTTGCAGTATTCTTCTATTTAAAACAATAAAAAGCACTAAAGAAAGGTGTCACCTTTCAATCTGAGACAAGCAGACCAATTCCTCTCTCACAAGGCTCAGAAAACTCTCCTCACACATTCCTTCGTATATTCGTTCCACATTTGGCGCTCGTGATTTCCTGAAACTATCTAACGTATCGAGGAGCGATCCGATGTTCTTTTTTGATAACTGCTGATAACCTTCCCATAACTGAAGCATTTGGAAGCTTAAGAAGTTCATAAATTTATAGAAGGCACTCGACCTCTAATGCTCTAAAGAAATAGCTTAGCAATCATTTTTATTCCAACATTTTCCCGACGTAAGACTAACAAAGTGTTAACAATGTATTTTTCCTTAAAAAAATATTTATTGTTTTAGTTGGCATTAATGAAGATCTCAACTAATGACTTGTAATAGTTCCCAGGATCGACTTTCTATTAACCTCGGCATTGAAATGTGAATGTGTCGTTTTCTTGTTCAACAATCGCGAGGTTGCTAAATAGCATACATTTACTTCCATAGAAAAACAATACAGTACAACAGTAGCTGACGTTTCGGCAGCATCGCCTTCTTCAGAGCCGCTTTTTCGTGACTTCCAGTGAGGAAGTTTAGAACAGAAGTTGAGTTGTCAACCATATGCGACTATAATCAGCTGTTCTAAACTTCCTCATTGGAAGTCACGAAAAAGCGGCTCTGAAGAAGACGATACTGCCGAAACGTCAGCTAGCGTTGTATTGTATTGTGTTTCTCTATGGAAGTAAATGTATGCTATTTAGCAACCTCGCGATTGCTGAACAAGAAAACGACACATTCAACTAATGACGCTTAAAAATCATAGCATTACACTCTGCGAAAATATTTCACTGATTTCCTTTACCGACGGACTCCAGGCTATTATCCTCCTCAGAGTTGTGTATCACCGAATTGCGGGAGAAGTATTTTCCTGAGACCAGCACTGATATGTTCGTCTTCTTATGTGCACAGACATATTCATACATGCACCCATGGATTTATATGCGTTTTTGTGGATTATGTCATTCACATTAATGGGTTTTCCGATTTTTAGCCGTGATTTCCTGTACAGCACAGGCGTTTCTCGCAAGCCAAAGAACAGCGCCGTTTAGTAGCACAGGTGAAAAGGTCGCTAAAACTTTATGATTATTCTAGGCTACACAAGTCTGAAAGCTCTTTGGTGATGATCTGCAGTTATTCTGCACTAACATGATCGAAGGTCTAGTGTTGCAGAATAGGAAATGCAAAAACAATGAGTTGCGGTGGTCCACGTCTACCTATATATCATATCAATGGGTTTGTCGTCCCAGACAAGTCTGGTACCAATTTTGCAACACCGGAGGGTGGAGTATACAGTGAGTCCAGGACCTGGATTCGAACCAGTGATGGATCCACTTTGTATTGCAGGCGATCTCTAACCAATGTTGAGCGCGCTCCCCATGCTAAGAAATGGCTGAGGAAAGGAAAGCTCACATAATCTTTTTCTTGAAAAAAAATCATCTATTGCTTTCCCCTTCCTAATTTCCAATATATTTCTTTATTATATTACCAGAACCGACTTTCTATTAACCTCGGCGTTTATCAATAAATCACAATTCTCTTAAAAGTTAAACACGAGATTGCTACTATTTATTCACCTACGAAAGCTGACGTATCGGTGGATTTCACCTTCTTCAGAGACTATAAAGATCAATTTGACTGCAATCTCCTCAGCCAAAGGCTACCGTAACCTCACCAGAAAAACTGTGAGCCCTCAATTTTAATAGTATCAGGAAAAGTTTTCCCAGGTACTTATCGTTTTATGAGTCTTGCATTTATTCACGGAGACCAAGCACGTAGGGTTTACATGGTTGAGAAATATCTTTTTGTCAGGTTAAAAGAACAGTGTCAGACATCTGTCTGGTCACAGTTGATAACAACGCATTCTTCCCAGAGGTCCATCCTTAGACTTTTGGAATTTATCCAAAATGCCCAGTTACGAGTTGATTTTTTACATTGATAAGTGTTCATTGTTACGTTTTTGTGCTTTATACATGCCTAATGCAGTGTTCCGCTTCACTTTAAGTTTACCAAACGAGTTCTGCTTTACGTGGGAGCGGATTGGTCTGCCAATTTCGCCAGCATTCCCGTCACCATACGTTTTACAAGAGATTAATACAACGTAATTGAACTAACACAATCGTCGTCTACACCGCTAGGGCAAATTATTCAATTTTGATTTGGAGATAGACGGTCAAAAAATCTGTTACGAACTAGTTGGCGTCCTAGACTGCTTGGTGGTATTTCAAACAATACTGCCCATTTATCTTGAAACCGACCGTCTAAGCCTAGCACCAAATGCATAATTTACCCTCAACACGGTAGAGATGGTGATTGCATTAGCTCGGCTACAGCATACCCAATCTCTTGTAAAGTGTACGGTGACGAATACGTTGGCGAAATTGGTAGACAACTCCACGTCCAAGTAAAAGAGAACCTATTTGGGAAACGTAAAGTGCAACCAAATATTCCACTAGCATGCATAGGACAGAAAGGTATAACAGTGAAGATTTCGAAGTAGAAGTGACTATCTTCGCATAGGAATCGAAAACATCAGCGCGTGAGCTATCAAGGGATTTTGGATAAGTCCCGAAAAATCTAAAGATGAATCGCAGGAAAGAATGCCTTGTTTTGATACGTGACCTCACAGATATCTGAAACTGTTCTTTTAATCTGCCACAAGACATTCTTTATCCATTTAAACTCTTCGTGGCTGATCTCCGTCGATAAATGGAAGACTCATAAAGACGGCGTGTAACTTAAGAAATTCTTCCTATGTAACTAAAACTTAGCCTTAGCGGTTTTTCAGTTGAGGTCATGGAGCTATCAGGCTGGTCAGGTTGCAGTCAACTTGAGCTTTCCAGACTCTGAAGAGGGCGAAATCTACCGAAACGTCAATTTTGCGTATAAGCAAATAGTATAGTATCAACCTCGTGTTTGTTCATCAAGAGAACTGTGAATATTTTATAAAATTTCACCCATTCTATCATTGTTTAAAATGATGGGAACTTGTCAATGAATGAGAGATTGTATTCGACCCTATTCCATTAGCTTACGCCCACCAATCAGAATCATCGTCAGGTCACCCGTATGAACTTAAATTATAAAAAGGAAAAAGCTCTTGGCTTCGATCAACAACCGATGAGCGATGCATCATGCATTCGACTTCATTAAGGATCGTTGGAGGAGATCGAGTGCATGTCCAGCCTTTACAATGACTTGCGGTGCGCTATCGATGTATCAATCCAGTGCTGCTATTCTCCCATACAAGTCTGGTACCAATTAGCCGACCCCGGAGGGATAGAGGACTTGGAGCGAGGATCGATCCCATGTGTATTGTAGGGCGAACACTGAACATTGCGCTGCGTGCGCGTGACTTGAGTAATGGGATCACTTAGTATGGATCAAATATACCTTAGACAAATCTAAAGATACATACGGATTGTCGTCTCCTCGCAAAAACTAATCAACTATGAACGAGGAAAGTAAGAATACCTGCAGTCAGGATGGACCCCAATGGTACAGCGTTTGTATTCTCTGAAGCGAACGCACAGTCGTTCAATATCACTGAGTGGCGGATGCAAAACGTAACGGTCTGCATTTGCGTACTCCACAAGCGAACTGACGCACTGCAGTGAGATAGCCTCCTCAATAAGATCGCACTGCACCGACGTCGTCTTCGGCCAGCAACCTGGAACTAATATTTTTCTTCTTCGTCACATTATAAATAATTCTCTTTTGCATAGAGTGATTGCTAAAATGTCACCAACCCTCTTCACTGATACAGCTACAATGATGCTGAGGTATTTGCAAAAGTGCGGACCGCAGGTGTTTGCGGTGGAGAACGAACTCGCTATTGTCCTTTCCGGGGAGTAACGCGTTCACCACCACACCATGCGGGCCCTTCGTTTCGCTTGTCTTGCAGCCAGTTTTCTAGCTGCTAGTGCCATCAGCAATTGGGATTGATAGAACTGAGAAGCGTTCGAAAAGATTGACCTTCATGATATGTTGGTGAACGCGTTAGCTCTCTGGGAGCGTAATAGAACGTTCGTTCGCAGCCGGAGTTTTGTAAATATATCAGCATCATGATTCTATCTTATATAATACCCTTCCGTGGAACCCTTTAATAGGCAGCAAATAAAAAGTCTTGATCTCTTCACTGATTTTGACAGTTGTGCATTGAAAAATGTTTAATACGTCCAAGTGAATACATGTATGGCAATGTGTAAAAGTTCTTTGTAGTGCAATCATGGTTACTAGTTCGATCCTGCCCTTTGTTAATGCAGCCGTCGTTGCTATCGGTACTGGCAAATTAGTGCCACACTTGTTCGAGGTGATGAAAACATTGAGTTGAAGCATCGATAGGTCTTCGCAAGTACAAGCACTGTACAGGCCAAATATGACACCAATTATTTCTACGATGATACGAATTGGGTTTAATGCATGGCTCATCTATAAAAGATTGATTAATGCTGGGTGCGTCATTCTTTTATTTACACTTTCATGTTGTGAGATTTGATACGATACCTCTCAGTGGAAAGCAGGACCACCTTATAAAGGACGTTGACTCTAATTTTTCCCCAAAACATTTTTTTGTTCTAAATTTGTCCAAAGTTACAGTCTCTATTCATCATCAAGGAGGCGTTTGTGTACAACCAATCTAGCGTGCACGAAACTCTTGTTCAATCGTTTCACTTCCCAAATACAAGCATCGACGGAAAAACGAAAATCAGTTATTTCTAGGATCCAAGGAAGAATCCATCTTATTTACAAAGATGTGTAGGTTCTGATTCTGGAATTGAATTACCAAGGCCACTAAGAGCCGTAAATTCTAAAATACGTTGTCGTCCGTTGCGATTCCAATGGGTCGAACAGCCATGTCTCCCACTAGTTCGAGAACTCAGTATATAACTTAGGGGTCTTTGTGGGTGGCTATGACGGCGCACAATCGAGGGAGGTTCGCTGATACTGGGAATTTCCATATTTACAACCATAGCATGAGCTAAGAGTACATTTACGCCATTAAAGATACCACCATGCTACTCGTG